AAATAAACCCACACTTACAAGGTGAATTAATCTTCAGAATTTACAATGGAGAAAAGACAGTCTCTTCAACAAATGGTGCTAGGAAAACTGGACAGCTACATGCAACACAAACTGGACTACTTTCTCATACCATACAAAAAAAAAAGCTCAAATTGGATTAAAGACTTAAATATTTAACCTAAAACCATAAAACCTTAGAAGAAAACATAATAATTTCTTTGACAGCAGACTTAGCAGTATCTTCTAGACCTGTCTCCTCAGGCAAGGAAACAAAAGCAAAAATAAACTATTGAGACCACACCAAAATTAAAAGCGACTGCTTTTTCCTCTAAGAAAAGTGAAACAAGTCATCCACAAAACAAAAAGCAACCTTCTGAATGGGATTAGATATTTGCAATGATCCATCTGATAAGCAGTTAATATTCAAAATATATTAAGAATGTGTACAAAAAAAATGTGTACAACCCACCACCAAAAAACTTACCAATCTAGTTAAAAAAATTGAAAGAGTACCTACCTGAAGACATTTTCCCCAAAAAGACAAACATATGGTCAACAGGTACATGAAACAGAGCTCAACATTTGCAGAAATATGCAAAATCAAAACCACAATGAGATACCACTTTATACCTGTCAGAAAGGCTCTATTCAAAATGACAAGATATAAGTGTTGTCGAGGATGTAGAGCTAAAGGTACTTTTATCTATTGTAAATTGGTAGACCACTGTGGAAAGCCATGTGGATGTTTCTCAGAAAATTTTAAAAAAAACAACCAAAAACCATATGATCCAGTAATTCCACTACTGGGTATTTACCCAAAGAAAATGAAAACACTAATTTGAAAATATATATGTACCCCTATATATGGCAGCATTATTTATAATAGCCAAGATAGGGAAATAACCCAAGAGTCCATCAATAGATTAATGGATAAAGAAAATGTAACACACACACACACACACACACACACACTCTCTCTCTCTCTCTCTCCACCATAAACAAGAGTAAGATCTTGCTATTTGAGGCAGCATGGATGGATCTAAGGATATTATGCTAAGTGAAATGAGTCAGACATAGATAAATACACAGAATCTAAAAAAACAAACAAAAGCAGAAACAGACCCGTTATAGAGAAAAACTGAGGGCTGCCAGAGGGGACATGGGTGGGGGATGGGTAAATTAATGAAGGGGAAGTGGAAGATACAGGCTTCCAGTTACAGAATGAAGAAGTCATGAGGTGAAAGGTACAGTATAGGGAATCTAGTCAGTGGTACTGGAATAGCATATGGTGACCTAGGATAGCTACACTTGTGAACATGAAATAGGATATAAACTTGTGGTATAACTATGCTGTACAGCTGAAACTAATGTAATGCTGTGTGTCAACTATACTTCAATTAAAAAAAAACACTGAGACATTTGTGCAAGTACAAAGAGACCAATGAAATAAAGAGCCTAGGAACATATATTTATATATGTATGTGTGTGTGTGTCACATATGCCAAATATTAATGTTTAGCCACCACAATGGCTAAAATGCACGACAGACGATATCATGCACCAGTGAGACGATATCATGCACCAGTGGAGCAAGCTGTACTGTTATGGACTACTGGTGAGAAGACAAATTGTTACAGCTCCTTAGGAAAACTGGAAATAGCTACTGTCAGGGAGCAGATTTTTCCACCTAAGCTATGCATCTTTGGGATGTGGAGAAAGGGGAACCCTCTTGCACTGGTGGGTTGGTGGGAATGCAAACTGGTGTAGCCACTCTAGAAAACAGGATGGAAATTTCTCAAAAAATTGAACACAGAACTACCAGCAATCACACTACTAGACATTTACTTGAAGAATAAAAAAAATACTTCTTCAAAGAGAGACATGCACCCCGATACTTATAATGGCATTATCAACAGCCAAATTATGGAAGGAACCCAAATGTTCATCAACTGATGAATAGGTGAAGATGAATGGGTGTGTATGTATGTATGTATGTATACATGTGTACATATATACATACATACAATGGAATATTACTCAGCCTTAAAAAAGAATGAAATCTAATATTAAATCACTGTATGTTAGCTGGAATTTAAATAAAAACTTTTTAGAAAAGAATATATAAATTTGATTCAAAAAATGTCTCTTTGGCATATTGATTATTCTGAGCTGGTATGTTTAAAGAAACTGTAGATATTAGAAGATCTATGAAACCTAAGTTTCCATGTATAAGGGAAACCTCCATTTATAAGGGTGTCTCCCTTGGTATCAGGAAGAGGGGGATTACCCTTAAATGTCTAGAAACTGTTACCAGTGGAAAAGGCATGAATTTAAATCTGCATGACAACTCAGTCTTGTTTACTATGCTTTTTATGGTACCCTCCATAACTAACCCTCTACCTGCAAATCTTCTTTTGTCTTTAGATGGAGATGGTATTTAAGCTGGTGGCTTCAGCTGTTTTGGTGAGATATTCAGTTTTCCTGGGTTAAACCTTGTTTCATTTTCCATTAATCAGTCTTTTTTTTTTTTCTTGGATCTTTTTAAAAATTTGAATACAATTAGCCAACATATAGTGTATCGTTAGTTTCTCTATTAATCAGTCTTACATAAATTTTTTAGTTCAGGTGGAAAGACCTTAAAGGACAGAGGAAAATTTTTTTCTTTTCCCACACTACTGAAGTTGAACATATGAATATATCCTTTGTCCCAGCAAATCCACTTTAAGCACATACCCACCAGATCCATGTGTACATCATAAAGTTGAGTGAAAGGAGCCAAATATCAAAGAATAATATATATTCCACTTATTTAAAATTTGAAAGAATGGTAAAACTAATTTATAGTGTTATAAGTAAAGATAGTTGGGCCCGGATGTAGTATCTTAAGGTAGATATGAGAGGGCTTGTGTGGTCCTGGTAATGTATGTTACTTGGTCTGGGTAATGGTTATGAGAATGTATTTACTTTGTGAAAATCTGTTGAGTCACATTTATGATTTATGTGCTCTTCTGTATGTATGTTATACCAGAATAAAAAATTAAAAAAATTTTCAAATTGTTCAGATTATTATGATTTAACTTTTCCTTTGGCAACTCTTGCTTTTAGTTATGTTGATGGCTTGCATCAAAGAACACTCTTGAAAGCCAAAAACTTAATTATTTTCTGCTTTCAGAAAAGTATGAGAAAGTAGATTTGAACTAAATTGAAGGAATTTGAGAGAAAATTAGCTTTCCCCAGAATAATGTGGGCTGTATGGAAGAACCAGACATGGCACCTGGGTGGCTCAGTCTGTTAAGCGTCTGCCTTCAGCTCAGGTCATGATTTCAGGGTCCTACGATCAAGTTCTTCATTGGGCTCCCTGCTTAGCAGGGAGTCTGCTTCTCCATCTACCCTTGTCCCCTGCTTATGATCTCTCACTTTCTCATGCTCTCTCTCTCAAAGAAATAAAATCTTTATTTTTTTTAATAACTAGACAGAAACTACAATGAACAAATTAGAGATTCTTTCCTAATTCCTTTTCTAATTTTGAGTGGGAGTTACCCCAGTTTCCAAAATAAAAGTGGAGTAGAACATTCATCTGAATGTTCACCTCTTGATAGGTACTATTGTTACTGAATGGTATCTTTGTCAAGGGAGAGTAATCAAGGTCAAAGGGTAAAGCCTGAAAGAAAGGCTGAAAAGTGGGGAGGATCCGGGTTTCAATGAAGAAAGATATTTGCTAGAAATGAAGTAGGGCTCAAAAAGGGTCCTTGGCTAGGAAGTATCAGCTGGCTACAGTAATCTAATCAAACCATTCACAGCACATGGAAAGCATTCTGGTGAAAAGTGGAGTTTTTCTTCATTTTCAGGAAATTTTGTGGTAATTTTTTCACAATCCTTTTTACCCTTAGTAACTTTAAATAGCGTTAAGATGCAAAACCCCCATCATTAGAAGCTGACAATTGCTCCTTTTGGTGCAAACGGCATTATAAAAACAAAGATGATCAATCATTGGGGAGACTTGTTATACTAATTTGAAGTAAACTTACAAGGTATAAATCTTCTTTGTTTATTAGGAGTTCCGCAGAGAAATGAATTCTTTTACAATTCTGAAGATCCTTTGCCTAATCCAGGAATAGTAAAAGCCAGAAAGAATGGGAATTGGGATGTCCAGAGATCAGTAATACCAGATTTAGTCACATCAGACAAACTTAAGTTTAGGAAACGGAAGCTCATGTTGATATTACAGTAGTTTTTAAAACTATAATTTTTAAATATAAAATTTTGAATGAACCTGTAGATTAAATTTAGGTTTCTGATTGGTCTTCTTTGGAAGACTATGCTGTAAAATGACTAGTAGCTTCTAAATGAGAACAAATTAACCATAAAACCTAAAATCCCATGTGAAATATTTTTTTTCCATGTGAAATACTTTGATATAGGACAGAATTCTTTTGAGATATGACATGTTTATGTGTATAAGTAATTATAAAAGTTCCTGTGTTGGCTAATGTTAATAAGAGCATTTATGATAATAAACTCTTCCTCAGGGATCCCTGGGTGGCGCAGCGGTTTGGCGCCTGCCTTTGGCCCGGGGCGCGATCCTGGAGACCCAGGATCGAATCCCACATCGGGCTCCCGGTGCATGGAGCCTGCTTCTCCCTCTGCCTATGTCTCTGCGCCTCTCTCTCTCTCTCTCTGTGACTATCATAAATAAATAAAAATTAAAAAATAAATAAATAAACTCTTCCTCAAAAATCTTATGAAAAGAACGGTGTCCTTTTAACTTTTTGCTAAATGGTGATTAATCAGTGATTATTAATTTTTATATCACCAAAATTCCCACTTATATATGCATATTGTATTATTTACCAGCCGTAATTCTTTTTTAAAAGTCACTTTCTTTACAAAGAAAGTAATTCAAATTAACCAGCCATGTCCTAGAAACATAAATATAAATGATACTGAGTAAGTATTGATTGAAACAAAAAGTAGTTAAAGAAAACAGCATTAATTCTTACCAACTCCAGAGGTTATTGATTCTGCATCAATATCACTAGCTCTTTTTCTTGCCACTTCAGCTAGTGCCAATTCACCCTTATCTAGTGCAAAGTAATGGATGTCCTTTGGAAATAAAGCAAAATAAAAGATTAATCCAAATGAATCTTGGTCATTGTTACAAAGATTTTGAACAAAAGAGCTTACTGTTCAGATTACAAATCAGACATGACTGAGGAGTATTTTTTTGTTTTAATTCTCTTAGTTTTCTTTACCAATATAAGCAAATTTTCTTGAATAGTAGATTATAACTATACGCAATAGCATTATTTAAATAAGTTATTTTAATTCCTAAGGGAAAAATGCAAGTTTTTAAACTAAATGTTTGACATAGTTTTGTCAGGAAAAAAAACTTCTATTGCTATGTTCTTTGGTGAGATTTTAATATCTGAGATGACTTCAAAATTCAATTGTAGGGATCCCTGGGTGGCGCAGCGGTTTGGCGCCTGCCTTTGGCCCAGGGCGCGATCCTGGAGACCCAGGATCGAATCCCACATCGGGCTCCCGGTGCATGGAGCCTGCTTCTCCCTCTGCCTATGTCTCTGCCTCTCTCTCTCTCTCTCTGTGTGTGTGTGTGTAACTATCATAAATAAATAAAAATTAAAAAAAATTCAATTGTATATTATATTATGATAAACATAAGAAATACTACTGTACAAATTTGACATTTGTGTGTCTGGCATGTACTACTTTGTTAACATTATTAATATTACTATGATCTTGAACTCATACAGTCAAAAGATAACCAGTGCTAACTACATGTCAGGCACTGTTCAGGAATGTAGAGATCAGTTGTGATTCCATGTCTCAAGAAGCTGTGAGCCCAGATGAGGAGACAGACCATTGTGAACAATGGTTAATTACATAATGTATGACAGGTTTTATAACAGATACTTGCACAAATATTTGCTGTGCAGGTAAAGAGAAGGAACTGATCCTTGATCTGAATTTTGAAGGACAAATAAAAGTTATGCTAGGAGGGAAAATAGAGAAAAAGTAACATAATTGGTATCTGGTGCATATATGTATAGAAGATTTAAAAAACACAGCTCTGTTAGGTAATGGCATATCTTTAAATACAGAGGAGTCTTGGATGTGTGAGAGAAAGCAGTATAAAATAATACTAAAGTAGGTATAGCCACTAAAAAGGATTTTGAACTATTTTTGGTGTGAAAAAGATTGCTGGAATATTGTAATAAAAATGGAAAAAGAAGGGGCACTTGGATTGCTCAGCTATTTAAGTGTCTGACTCTTAATTTCAGCACAAGTCATCTCAGGATCATGAGATCGAGCCCCACATTAGGGTCCCTGCTCAGTGGGGAGTCTGCTTGAGATTCTCTTTCCTTATCCTTCTTTCTCTAGAATAAATACATCTTTTTAAAAAATGGAAAAAGAATACAGCCAGTTTACCATGAAGAAATATAAATGCCCTATACTCATGAAAGATAATTCACTTTGTTAATATTCAAATAAATGCAAATTGAAAAAGACATAATTTCAAATTGTTTGTTTTTAAAAATTCAGAATATTTATTGGTTGCAGAGACTTCCAGGGAAGATGGCAGAGTAGGAGGTTCATAACCTTAACTCATCCCATGGATTCAACTAGGTAACACCTACATCAGTGTAAATAACCCAGAAAATGACCCAAAGGCTGATAGATCAAACTCTCTACAGGTAAATACAGAGAAGAAGCCACATCAAAGAGGGCAGGAAAGGTGGAGATGCTGTCAGGAGCCAAATGGACCCACGGAACTCTCCCCTGGAGGATACTGCAGATGTGGAGAGGAAAGAGCAACAGACCCCATATCAGGCATACCAGGCATCCTAGGCACGGGAGACACATGGGGAAGACAAATCCTCATAACACTTGGCTTTGAAAACCAGAAGGGCCTAACTTCACAAGTTCTTAAAAATCAGTGGGATGTAACACTTGGAACTTTAAAAATCAGTGGCCTCAGTTCTGGAAGAGCTGGAAGGACAAAAGGAAACAGACTTTCTGCCCTTAATCTTTTTTACTATAAACAGTCCCACTGAGTTATTACATATAAGCAGCAGTTTGAAAAATGCCTAGGGAATAAGGGGAATAAGATTTATTTACTAATCTCAGAGCATGTGCTGGAGGGGCAGGGATCTTTGGGAGGCTTCTGCAAGAACAAAATAGCTTCTGGGCAACATTTCACTCCCTTGCCCTCCAGCCTAAATACATGGATACCTGCAGGAACCAGCACAGCACCAACATGTTTCACTTAGCTTACTAACAGTGCACCCTGCCCTGTTGTGCTTCTGCCAATCTGCATCCCTAACCCCACCAGTCTTGGCAAGTTTTCCCAGGTGGCTGCAGGTTTTCTTCCTCAGCACACTAGTGAAGACCATGCTGGCACCACATGCCCCACCCCTACATTCTACTGTAGACTTTCCCCCTCTAGTATGTCCGTGGCAGGAGCTCATCCAAAGCGGTGCCACAAGACTGGCAGTGTGCAAGGAGCCCTGACAAGGGTGAGCACCACTCCAAAGTGACTCCTACGCAAGGTAGAAGGTAAGATAACCCCCTACTCCAGCCCACCTGTGGCACCAGCAGTGGGCTGAAGGGAGACATCAACTCTGGCTATAGGCCCCACCCACCAGCAAAAGCTCAAGGGCCAACACAGGGGCCAACTTTGCAGTTTTGTGCTACTGCATCTCTCTGGTAAATGCCTGGTTTGACTCAACTTATGCCCACCATGGCCACAGAATGGCCCATTTTCAAAACAGTGACCAAATTCTGCACACAAAAGGCAAAGAGAGCCACTGTAGATGACAAAGCTAAAGGCAAATGCAGCTCAGCCATACAGAACTGCACATGCAACCCATATAGGAGACGTCCCTGAAGCGCTGAGTTCTGTGAAATTGGAACATTGCACTGCAAGGCATTCTTCTTCATAGGCCACTACTTTTCTTTTTTCTTTTAAGATTTATTTATTTATTTGAAAGAGAGCACATAGAGTGCAGAGGGACAGAAAGAGAGGGAGAAAGAGATTCCCAAACAGACTCCCTGCTGAGTACAAAGCCCCGCTCAATCTCACAACCCTGAGATCACAACCTGAGCTGAAACCAAGAGTAGATGCTTAACCAAATGAGCCACCCAGGCTCCCCTAAGGCCACTACTTTTAAGAGCAAGAGATATGGCAGACTTCCCTAAAATAAAAAAGGACACAGAGTTACACAAAATGAGGAGACAGAGGTCTATGTCCCAAATGAAAGAACAAGACAAAATCACAGCTAGACAGCTAAATGAAATGGAGATAAGTAATATACCTGATAGAGAATTTTAAGTAGTGGCCATAAAGATAATAGACTTGAGGAAAAAGTAGAGGAACTCAGTGATACCCTCAAGAAAGGGACAGAAAACATAAAAAAGAGCTAATCAGAGATGACAAAAAATACACTAGATGCAATAAATAGCAGACTAGAGGAAGTGGAAGAACAGATCAGGGACTTGCAGGAGAGAGTAATGGAAAACAGCAAGCTAACTGGACAGAGAAAAAAAAATAAAAATGAAAACAGATTAAGGGAACTCAGCAATACCATCAAACATAACATTTACATTATAGGGACCCCAGAGGAGAAGAGAGAGAAAAGGGGTTGAAATTCTATTTCAAGAAATCATAGCTAGAAACTCCCCAAATCTGTGGAAGGAAACAGAAATGCAGATCCAGGAGGTACAGAGATGCCACAAAAATTAACCCAAAGAAGTCTACACCAAGACATAGTAATTAAAATGGCAAAAAGCCAGCAAAAGGAGAATTTTAAAAGCAGCAAGAGAAAAGAAAACAGTTACATACAAGGGAAATCCTATAAGACTATCAGCAGATTCTGCAGCAGAAAGTTGTAGGCTAGAAAAGAGTGGCATGATATATTCAAAGGACTTAAAGAAAAAACCTGCAGCCAAGAATACTCTATCCAGCATAGAAATCACTTATAATAGAAAGAGAGAGAGCATTTCCCAAACAAAAGTTAAAGGAATTCATCACCACTAAACCAGCCCTATAACAAATATTAAAGGGGGCTCTGAGCAGAAAGGGAAGATCACAGGCAAGAGAAAGAAAAGAAGCAAAAAGGCTCTAAAATTAAATATACCTGTAAAAATCACTCAGGGGGCTCACAGAATAAAAGGATATAAAGTAGGCCACCATATACATAAAACAGGGCTGGGAAAGGAGTAAAAATTTAGTGCTAAAAGAATGGCTTCAAATTTAAGTGACCATCACCTAAACATAGACTGATAATATACAGAAGATGTTATATATAAACCTAATGGTCACCACAAATAAAAAATTGGTAATATACAAAAAATAAAGAGAAAGGAATCCAAGTATATCACAAAGAAAGGCAGCAGATCATGAGAGAACAGAGCAAGAGAACAAAGGAACAGAGAACTACAAAGACAACCATAAAACAAGTAATACAATGGCAATAAGTACATACCTGTCAATAGTTACTTTGAATATAAATGGACAGAATACTCCAATCAAAAGACAGGGTGAAAAAAAATAAACAAAAGACAGGGTGAAGGAATGGAAAAGAAAAATAAGGCCCATTTATATGCTGCCCAAAAGGGACCCATTTTAGACCTAAAGACACATGCAGACTGAAAGTACAGTAAAGATGGAAAAGCACTTCTACAAAAGGATGTGAAAAGAAAGGCATGGCAGGAAAACGTATGCTGGAAAAAATAGGCTTTAAATCAAAGACTAATAAAGGAAAAAGGACACTATATAACGATAAAGGAAACAATCCAAAAAAGAAGGTATAATAATTGTAAATATTTACACATCTAACATGGCAGCACCCAAATACATAAAGCAGCTAATAACAAACATAAAGGCAATAGTCAATAGTGATACAATAATGGTAGGGTACTTTAGCACCCAACTTACATCAATGGATAAATCATCCACACAGAAAAAGAAACAGAGGCTTTAAATGATACACTGGATCAAATGGATCTAACCAGATGGATCTAGACCAGATCTACTCAGAACGTTTCATCCTAGAATAGCAGAATACACACTTGTTTCAAATGCA